AGTATGTTTAGTATACATAGGAGTTTTAAGGACTGATTTAATAAATCTCAATTTTTAAGTTGAAGTTAGTTGCAATAAATCTCAATTTTTAAGTTGAAACTTAACTTAACTTAAACATTTTAAATAAATTCTTTATTATTTATCTAATTATTTAATCTTTATACTAAATATTTATTGCTTTATGAACAGTGGGAATGAACAGATTATATAAACAAATATACAGATATAATGAACAATAATAATTTACGTATTTCAATTTATTATCTAACCTATGTAGTCTAACACTTTAATTTATTAAAAATTTACCAATATATAAAGTAAATCGAAAATACACTTATTAATTTATTACTATATTTTATTATTTGTGTAGATCATTAATAAATCAAGTGTGATAAAATTGCAAAACAAATTAGTTAATATTTATAATATATTTTTAATTAGTATAATTAATAATTTAGTAAATTATAAAATGTTGTTTATTAACAAATTATTTGTCATAGTGTTATCATTATGTTATTGCAGTCATTTGGTTCACTCCAATGGTATTGTTATTAAATCAATTTTTACTATTAATATTTGTAATTGATTTTTCTAAACTATACATTTTAATTTTTTATATTACACTACATTTGTAGCAAATAATTTTTAGACATTAAATTACCAATATGTTCATGATTGTTTTAACAATTATATGAAATTCATATAATATATACAAACTTATGTATAATTTAATGTATAATAAACTTTAACAGTTATATAATTAACAATTCTAATTAATCCAGTGATGGAAAGTCCTGAAGATAGATTGGGTCATCTAATTGACTATTGCAAAGAACCATATAATGTAAGTTACCTTTGTTTATTGCAACTAACTTCAACTTAAAAATTGAGATTTATTAAATCAGTCCTTAAAACTCCTATGTATACTAAACATACTTTAATTAGAACACCACAAAAACATACATGTTATTACTGTATTATACAAATTTATTATTTTAAATAAGCACTCTTATAAATTTTATACCATATAGAAACCACCGGTTGGGAACAAAACAGGCAATCAATACTGTAGTGAAGATCCTAAACGTGGTGAATGTGAGCGTGATGAAGTAAACAACAGTTTTAAATGCGTGTGTCCACAACATGATATATACTATTGGGAGTTTGATAAAACAATCATGGAGTAAGTTGCTGATTACCAGTTAAATTGAAATATAACATTTAAATATAACATATTACACTTTACATATTGAATGTAATGTGCGTTAATATAATCATAAAAATGAATGAGCATATTGCTTCGATATTAAACATTTTATTTTTCAAATATATTTGTATAGCTGCCAACCCCTACCATTATGTTTGACTAAAGCCTGTGATAAGGTTAGCGAGTTTTGTTTAGAACCGATGTCAGTTGGAGGTGAGGCCACATGTCATCCCAAATATGGCTATTATAAAGATCCAGTGACTGGCAAAACTACCAAGGTTGATATTTGCAATCCGGCCGACAGAAAATTAGCTCATTTATTACCAGAGCAACCCTGTGGCGACCCACGAGCCACGTGTCAGCACGATTTCTTGGATCCACAAAAATACACATGCACATGTCCAATTGGGTTTAAGGCATCCACAAGTAAGTGTAAAATTAAACTTGGTAGATTATTGTTCCATAAAATATATCATGCAGTATCAAAATAATTTACTAAATGTGATTGTTAGGTATAATAACGTACAGGGTAATTAATTTATAAAATTTTAATTAAATATTTAGCAACTTATCCGTCGGACACCACATGCTCTTCGCGGAAATGCGATTCACCGGCTCTTAACACGTGTGAACACAAGTGCGAGACCGACGACGAGGACGAGACGGGCGGCGATCACAACACATACGTCAGGGGCTATAAGTGCCGGTGCGGAGACCCATACGTATCCGTAGGCGACACGTGTGTACTTAAAGCGGGAAAACCATGTGTCAAATGCTCGGGAATTCAGAACTGTTACTGCGATAACGACGGCAATCCTAACTGTGCTCAAGGCTTTGAATGGACAGAAGTGAACAATGTTAAAAAGTGTGAAATGCCCGGTAAAAACTGGTTTTATGAATTTATAAATTAGTCATATTTGAATTCCAGAAGCATCTTATTGTAATTTTTAAACTACGTTTTTATGCTGCTTTTAATTTAGTTTATAAATTGGAAATAAAATTTCTAGTTTACCATGATGAGCAAAATTCTGTTGGGAATTACTGAATAAACGTTTAATATGAAAATACTTATAAATTCATAATATGAATAGAAAAACTGTATAAAAAACTATGGTGTTATCTAATTGCTAAACAAGTTGTCCATATCATAAACGTTTAGACACTTTGGGCGCCTATTGTTTGGGAGGCAAACTGGACGCACCTGACGTTACCGGACGCCGGCATTGTCTGTGCGACGCGCCATACGTCACGACCGCCGACAAGACTGCGTGCGTATTGCAGGGCGTGTGCGGACGGGGAGGCGTCGGACGGACCGATTGCGACGCAAAGCGGGCCCTCTGTGTGTTGAAAGAGCCTATGAGTGTTACGGATCACCCGTATGTGTGCGAGTGTCCGGACGGCACTATACGGGCTGAGGCGAGTAAAGTGTGTCAACCCGTTTGCATGTATAAGAACCGTAACCTCGCGTGCGATCGTATTAACGCCGACTGCGACCCAAACATAGCTTAT